TTTCTGCATCACCTTTTCCTGGCAGCTGCTGGGCCTCAGGCTGCTTCTTACCTTTGAGATTAATGAAGGCATCTTGGAGAGATATCTAGGGATGAGCAACCACAGCTGCTGGGGAACGCAACCACAGTTCAGAGCTACCACCATGGCTCCATGCCCCACACTGATGGGCAGCTTTAGCTTTGCTGATCTGTAGTCAATGCTGCAGAAATCTGGTCAAACCAGCCCTGACCACTCCAAAGCATTCATAATGACTGGGTCAGGATCACGGATAATGAGTTTAGGGCTGCTCTAAAGACGTGTCAGATAGGATCCATGTAAAGAGTGGCCTATAATTGACCCTTCTGCTGACATCTGCACTCTGCACCTGGGGAGTGCAGTGTGGGGAAGGAGTGGGCCCCGGGGCACATAGCGGATGAGGGTCAGTGGTCATCCCTAGGCACAGCTGCTCTGCAGACCTCTTCCCCATTGCTCATGGCCAGAGTTGGCTAAACCTCTGAAAGAAAGCAAGAGCCCAAGTTCCTATCCTCACAGCCTTCTTCCTCACTGCCTTCCCTTCCTCATCATTGTCGGGCAGCTTAGGGATGCAGGAGGCTCTTTGCAGGGGGAGTGCTTTGTGTCAGCCTCTTCAACAGGAGGCTGCAGAAATACCAAGGCACTTTTATTCCACTTCCCTCCTTTTATTTATTTATTTTTCTTCCTTACCCCTAGAGCTACAAATGAGGGCAAGAAAAATGCAGGAGCATGCATTGTTTTCTTTTCCCTCCACCCAGCGCTGTAAAATACCCCTTAATGGTTGGGAGCAAGAGGATCTCCAGGCTGGGCCTCCACTTTGTGTTTGCAAGTTTATTTTTCTTAATTCATCCTTGACAAAGGACAGAGCCATAAAAGACCCGACCAGCACGTCTGTGGGAAAAAACGGCCCTGAAAAGGGTCGGAGGAATACTGCCGCATTTACAAACAATCCCGAGGGCGAAAGCCTCTGTGAAATGCGGCTGCAGTTATAAGTCGCCTTTCTAGGAACAAGCCTACATCTGTTTGGCAATGCCATATTTTGTAGGGTAAAATAAACCCTTGAGAACAAACAGGCCAGCTTCTTCAGAGGGGTAAATGTCTGAGAACAGAGCTCGCTTGTTAATCCTAAAACTGTCAGCAGAGACCCGCTGCAGAAATTATAGCCGGGCATGGGCACTCGAGCCGCTTTCTCCTCGCCCCCCTCAGCACAACAGCTGTAAAACCCTCTTTGTTGTTCTCCTGTGGCCAAGGGGCTTTGCAGAGAGCTCTCTGCTGGGGCAACAAGTGGTGACACTGGGTGCTAATCGGGAACCTGTCCCTTGCCAGGAGTTATTAATGGCATGGCACAATGGCGTTGCGCCGAGTGCCTGGCAAAGAACCGGGCTGAAACCCTCCCTTAGGGGAATGACCCCCATCAGCCATCTAAAAAATGCTTTACAATGAGGCTCAGGCTGTCCCTTGTGCTTACAAAGGCTGAAAGGCAGATATCAGCCCGTGTACTGAGAGTGCGAGGGCACGGATCTCACCACTGGGAGAAAACCAACGTTGGATGCTTGGAATATTTAACTGCCTGCAACAGATAATTAGCCAAACCCTCTTACGCCTCCAAATATAGGTTCATTAGTCATATGAAAATATCTCATTGGAACCAAATGTGAGTCATTAGTGAAGTCAACGGCAGATCATAAAAAAGGTACTGAGAGCCTTGAGAAATCGTGAGCATGCAGCAAGAATAACTCAGCGCGTTGTACACGGAACATCTGCTCACAGGGGCTGCCGTGTCCCCATTCCCACTGTGAGATGTGCAGCAGGAACACAGAGCTGGCACTGGGATTCTTCTTCCTCTTCTTTTTAGCCTTTAAAGGGAGAGGGACTCTGTTTGGTGAAACCCTTGTAAAAATGGAATTATTTTGGGGGGAAATCTGGGGAGTGGGGTGGGAACGTGTGCTTAGTGCTGGGGGGCATAGCAGGGGTTTCCCATCCCTTTTTGCACCCATTGGTCCCATAAACATATTGTGAAGCTCCACTGCTCCATGATGGGAGTTGAGTTGCACAAGGGGCACTTCAGCTTTTCCTTAATTTGAAAAGGAAAGCACAAGGAGTAGAAAACCTGCAGCAGAGAATGGCAAATGTAAGTGCCATGGCACTGACATTGCCCTGGCTGACCGAGCTCAAACTCAGAGCACGGCTTGAACCATCTCATCCCATGACGACACGATCAGACTTCCCAGTTCCATCAGTCAGGTTGCGACCCCTTGGCTTTGCTATTCAGTTTCTTAAGTAACTAATCAGTGTAACGCCCCCCGTGCTTTGAAACCTCTGGGTGAACTATGACAGCGGAGCAGGGGGAGTGGAGTGTGCTGGGGCTTAAAATGGGGGTTTTACACCGAAGCACCGAGCCTGGAGAGCGTCCCCTCTTCCTGAGGGAAAGCACTGCGGAGGGCTGTCCCCAAGCCCCCACAGCCGGACCCGACCCCTGGGACGCCCCCAGCCCCATTCCCGGCTCTCTTTGCGGATTTCTCCACACCAGGGCAGGGTCCATTCTCGAGGTACCCCCGCAGCCACCACCTCCCCCTGTCAGACCCTGCTTTGCCCAGCCTCTCGCACGACCCCCACCGCGGGTGGGCGGCTCTAGGACCCCGCGGCGG